TTGTACTCTACTGTATTGTACTGTACTGTATATACAAGGGTGTCCCAGAAGTCTGGATCCAGAGGCATTGTTCTGTAGGAGAAAATGTTAATTTTTCTTTGTATTTTAAGTGGCCTGTTAGGTCTCCAGCTCTAACACCACTGTTGGCCCAGAATGATCGATGCACTAAAGGAAAAAGTAAGTAAGTAATTATCAAAACAAGGCACCAAACCGGGAAGGCTATGTAGCACCATCAAATGTTTGGAATAATCAGAGGGCGCTAAATATCACCAAGGATGCCAATACGAGAACAGAAACGCATAAGGCGAATGATATCAAAAGTATCCGATTCACCAAGAATTCTATCGAGGGACAAGTGACCGTGAGGGACGGTCGGAAAGCAAGACACACGCACGTCCTGGAAGTCAGGACATTCAACAAGGATATACACGGCCATAAGAGGGACAACGCAATTTGGACAATAAGGAGCAGGGCGGTGCTCCATTAAGTGACCGTGGGTTAAGCGAGTATGGCCAATCCGCAGCCTTGCCAAAGCAGTTTCCCACTGCTGGTTACGGTGGTAGGAGGAAGGCCACGGGGACACACTACACTTAAGAGTATGCAGCTTATTACCAACTACAGAAGACCAACATCCCTGCCAACGGGCAAGGATGGAGGAATGAATAACTGGGTAAAAGTCGGAATAAGGAATACCTTTACGGGAGATGGGACAAGAGTGGACAGCTTCTCTAGCGGCAGCATCCGCACGCTCATTTAAAGAAACACCAATATGGCTGGGAACCCAGCAAAACTTTACGGATTTAAATTTACTAAAGATAAGAAACAGCCAATGTTGAATCTCGACCACTGGATGGACAGGATTAAAGGACCCTAGAGCCATGAGGGCACTACGAGAGTCAACGACAACCACAAAGGAGGATTGACAACGAGAAAGCAGGAGACGGAGAGCATAGAGAATAGCATAAAATTCTGCTGTGAAGATGCTAGTCTCTGAAGGGAGGCGACATATATGAGTGCGTTCAGGAAAAACAACAGACTTGTTTCGCAGACTTCACAGACTTCCTGTTCGCAGACTTAGACCCATCGGTGAAGATGGAAACGGAGCGGGAGTGTGAAGAAAAGTGCTCAAGGAAAAGGTGTTTCAGAACCGTAGGAGGGGTAAAGACTTTAGTGATGCGGGTCAAGGATGTACAAAACTTTAGAAGGGGGACTCTCCACGAGGCAAGGAAGGAACAATACGAGGAGAAACATTAGAAATACGAACTGGAAGAGAATCTTGTAAGCGAGATAGCCAGACAAAGAGTATGGTGGTAAAGAGGAACAGGAACTACAGGCGGGGTAAAAGTCAAAGCATGACAGAGGCGAGAGGAAGGATGTTGTCAAGACTGCGCAAGGTAGCGAAGACAGTAGCGATCATGGCGGTCCTGGAGAGATAGGAAGCCAGTGTCAACATACAAGCTGAGGACAGAAATAGAACAAAAGACACCAGAGCTGAGGCGCAACTCAGTATGGTGCAAAGGATCAAGACGGTGAAGAGTGGAAGGAGAAGCAGACGAGTAAACAGGACAACCATACTCGAGTTTAGACAGGACAAGAGAGGAATGTAAAGAGAGGAGCGAGCACCTATCTGCCCCCCAAGAAGTATGGGACAAAACCTTAAGGAGGGTAAGGGCCTTAGAGCATTCAACTCGGAGGTAAGAGATATGGGGTGACCAAGACAAACGAGTGTCAAAGATTAACCCCAAAAGCTTAGCGGAATCCCTGTACACAATGGGATGATCATAAAGCAACAAAGAGGGACAAAGAACGACATGCTTCCGAGTAAAAGTCATAGCACAAGTCTTAGACGTAGAGAACTTGAAGCCATGATCAGTGGCCCAAGACAACATGGCATCAATTGCAAGTTGAAGGAGAGGCGAATCATCACCCTGACAGCAAAGGGTAAGATCGTCGACATAGAGAGTGGAGAAGACGCCGAAGAGAGCGGACGAAGGGAGGAAAGAAGACCGTTGAAAGCAACAAGAAAAAGAGTAGTGCTCAGAAGAATACCTTGGGGTACACCCTCATATTATCTAAAAGGGGCAGAGAGAGTGACACCAAGCCTCACTCGAAAGAAACGACGAGAGAGGAAACTTTGGAGGAAGAGAGGGAGATTCCCACGAAGGCCAAAAGAATGAAGTTGGGACAGCATATGATACCGCCAGGTAGTGTAGTAAGCCTTTTCCAGGTCAAAAAGGACGCCAACAATGGAGATCTTCGCAGTAAAAGCAGTACGAATATAGACCTCCAAGTTCACCAGGACATCCGTTGTGCTGTGGCACTTGCAAAAACCAAATTGAGAAGGGAAGAGGTGGTGATAGCCCTCTAAGAACCACATCAGATGTAGTTAACGTTCGTTAACTACACAAACGTTAACCCTACGTTCAAAGAGCTTGCAGACACAACTCATGAGGGCAATAGGGCGGAAGTCCTTGGGGGATGACCCGAGAGACCCTGGTTT